TCTTGTTAAAGAAGCATAAAAAGTTATACAGCTGAATATGCACATATTTATCTGCCTACCACATGTCCCCAGATAAGACTTATGCCATGTTTTGGGAAAGCAGAATGAAGAAAAAAAAAATTTTCCTTTTTAACCAAACTGTTAAGAATCAGTTTCTCTATTTAAGATGTGCACCCCAGTTTTCAAGAGTTAATTTATGAGAAGCAGGTGAGTGTGGTAGGTGAATAAATAAGGCATATTGATAAATTCATCTTCTCTGAGATTAATGATTTCTGGCCAGCTGTTCAGCTGCCTGTGTTGATGAAGTCATGCACCTTGAAGTCAAACTTGTCATACTCTTTCAGGTTGCTGGCAGAGATCTCTTCTGCGTGGGATGGATGCCAGAAGTACTTCTACCAATGTCTCGCACGCAACTCTAGGCTTCAGACAGCATTATTGGCACCTGTTAAGGTGAAAAAAAAAAAAAGTAACTGCAAGAAAATCTGCAATTCATATGCCTAAATTTTATTTCAGGACTTTGAACTAGTAGTTGATTTCCTGATTCCGTTGGAATGTACCACAGATTAGGAATTGCTGAGAGATGCCATTGCAGAATTCACTTAAAAATTCAAATTTTTAAAATTTTCTCAGCCTCTTTAATTTTCCTTTTTTTTCTGTAAGATATATTTGATACAGATGTTATTTTCTAAGTGTGACAAGTAACTCATTTTGCGAAAATTGAAATTTGGCATCTGTTTTCATGAATCAAAATGAGGACGCTAAGAAGATAGTTCCTATCTGGTCTGTTCATATAATTTTACTCCTTTCTCCTGTATTTCAGGAAATTGGAGTTGGTAGCATTGAGAGATGTAAAGGATTTACAGCACACCTTATGAAGATGCTTGTTAAACAGAGAAGCTCCCTCACTGCCTTGACAGAGCAGTGGATAATACTGAGGTACTCTCCACTTTATTACTATAGCCTTATTTAACTGGTAAAGAGGAAGCTGACTGGAAATATGTACATCTAAGAAGCAATGGTAATTGCAAAATAGATAAGGTATTAAAATGCTATTCATTTCTGATTTTTGTTTTTGGTCCACATAACTAAAATAACTAGAAGGGTATTTATTGCATTCTGTCAATTGCAAGCAGACATTTCAAATGTTCTGAAATCAAAGCATCTAAGACAAATGGGAGATATGCACTATGAGGATCAAGAGAATTGCAATGCAGAATTATAATTGTATCTTTAGATTGATGAAAAAGAGTCATTTGGTAGTGATAAAGCTATACTCTCCAACATAAACTTATCCAGATTACATCTTGTGGTTTTTTGAGAACAAGTTATGAGCAAGTGGCCAGCCTAAACAACTCTGAGCTAAAGCAAGAAAACTCCAACAAAATATAAAAAAACAAATCTTTATAAGAAGAGATTGGAGCATTTATTTCACAAGGAAAAGTGTTTTTAGCTTTTTAATAGGAAAAAAGGTGATCATGTGTACAGTTATGCCTTTTAGGCATTTATTTCACTGTCACTCGCTGCTGGGTAACTTGTCACTTTGACTTACCAGTTCTATGGACATGATCCTATAGCTGCTTATTCTTACTGTAGGCTTATGAAACTTGGGACAGGGACTGCCCTCTGTTAGTGTGTACAGCATCTAACTTGGACAGGTATCTTTAGATACTGCTGCTATGTAAATACTTGCTAATAATTTAATAATATGTGCATGCATATAATTTGCAATAGTATCAATATAAAAAGTATCTGTCATTTGAAATGTAAAGTAGGTTCATGTAGTCATTATGAGCAGTCTGTTATATAACATTCAAGGAAAGATGACTTATTAGGATTAAATTACTTTAATATTTGAATATAGGCCCAAAGGTTTATTAAGCTTATTTGAAACTATTTTGAACTTTATTTGAAACTATTTGGATGATGCTGATCGCAAGAAGAGATTGCTAAGCTGCGTACTCATAACATAAGTCATGTGTACAGAATAGAATAGAGTGGAGACTGTTAATTGCATAAAACTTCTTTTCAAAGTTTTTGAGTAATTATTGCTCACCAATTGGACAATGTATTGAATGCATGGATTAATATCCCAGTGTCTTTGTTAAACATATTTCTGGAAACATGAGAACTTCCCAAGAATTAAAATACAG